TGGAGGTGGAGTTCAAAGAAGAATGAGAAATTTAATGGTTTCAATCTGCCCTTGTTTTTTCTTTTTCTTTTTCTTTTTATTTTTATTTTTGCATGTTATCACTGTGCCCGTTTTTTGCTTTTATTCTTTGTTCCGCAAAGTGCGCTCTTTTAGTTTGTAATGATGTGACAATATATATCGTCAAATAGCTAGCTTTGGGAAGAAGAAGGCAGTAGACACTGTGGGAAGGGTATTCGGCAATCAGCAAAAGTGAGACTCACTCAAGATTTAGGAACTAGTAGTAGGGGGTAGGTTAAGTGGTAAGGAGGTGGAGGGTACTTACCTGTGCCTTTGATTAGTTAGGAACTAGTAGTAGGGGGTAGGTTAAGTGGTAAGGAGGTGGAGGGTAATTACCTGTGCCTTTGATTACTATGGATGACTATCCCATGTTCGCAACTCTGTCCCTGTCCGTGCTATGGGGACCCCTTCTTTGCTTTATCTTTCCTCTTGTTTTCCAGCGAACCCTCTTCTCGAATGCCAAGGTTGGGGAAGTCAGCACAGGCACAAACGGCTGAAGAGCAGGCAGAGAGATAGACCGTCGCGTGGCAGAACAGAAGAAAGAGGAGGAAAAGAAAAGGAAGGAGGAGGAAGTGAAGAAGGTATTAGAAGGAAAAAAAAGATGGAGAAGGAAATGAAAGAGAAGGAGAAGTTGCTGGAGGAACTAGAAGAAGAAGACGAAGAAGAAGAAGAAGAAGTTGGAAAGAAGGAGAGCCCAGCAAACAGAAGAGAAGGCTGAAAGCAGCCATGCTGGGGCGATCCGACTGTTGCAGATGGAGACGATGGACTGGATGGGGCAGTTCGGGTATCAAACGGAGATGCCGGAAGCAACTAAGGAAGAGAAAAATGCCTTTGTGATTAAGATGGCACCAGCGACAAACCAGGGAGAGATGGACTCGTTGGTAGAAGAGAAGAGAATCCAACTCAACAACAGGTTGGTGGCTGCAAAAAGGCAGGAATATTATGATAAAAAAAGGATGAAGGAGGAGGGGGAGAGGTTGCAAGCACTGCTGAAGGAGCAAAAGGGAAAGCAAGCGGCAACAAAAGAATGGTTAGCTCTCATGACTGACACTCTCCTCAATACTAACGAAGAGCTTGGTGCCCTCCATCAATCCATTAGTAGACTGGAACTCCATCAGGGAGAGTTTGAGGGAACCTGGAATAACTTCATGCGCACAGCCTCTCACCAGATAGATGACCGTATCATTGAGTACATAAAACAGCTAGACAAGGCCCTCGTCAAAAAGATAACCGACCCTGCCGTAGTAAGGAAGTTAAAGCTTAGTGGCGGGGGAGGAGATGGAGGTGGTGATGGTGATGATGGAAACAAAAAGAAGGCTCCCAAGAAGGAAGGGGACAGTGAAGCAGAGGAGTCCAGGCTAAAGATGAGGGTGAAGCTGCCATGGATGTATAACGGGAAGAAGGAAGAGATCATCTTCCACTGGGAGGCAGATATGGACACATACTTACACGCATAAAAGATTCTGTATTGGACCGCGTATCAATGGGAAGTTCATGTATGGTAGGGGACGTCGTTAGCTTTGCCATCTCTTTGATGAAAGAGGCTGGCTGCACTTCCATGGTTCAATACTCGCAGAGAACGCGTATTGAGGATTTCTTCAGGACCCTTAGAGAAAGATTTGAAGATAAAAACCTTACCCGTAGGACATAATCCTTGATTCTTAACATAAGTGACCACAAGTGGAAGAGTGCGTCGACCCTTAAGGCCACGATGGATGAATTGCTGCAATGTCGAGACCATGGACTGACGCCTGCACAATATTGAATAACTTTACGAGAGCACTCCCAGAACGCCTGAAAACACAGTTATATTCCGGAACAAAGGAAGAGGGAATTACTTACGAGAAGTTCAGCAAGATCACAGTGGATCATGCTAGTTTCTTGCATTTGTCATTATTGGAAGGACCTGCAGGCCGGTAAGAAATGGAAAGATCAGACGATCTCAGTGAATATAGTAGGGAAGGATAATACTATGGTCACCTTCGAAGGAGGGGTGGAATCACTCACTTATGACCAGATAGACTATGGATTAGAAGAAGATAGCAAAAGTCATTTAGCCCAGGAAGCGGACTATGTGGGTGTTACCGCCCGCGGGGAAGAGCGACAAGGAGGACGTGGCGGTGGTAGATGAAGAGGAGGTCGCAGCCGAGGTGGAGGAAGAGGACCCGCCGCCGTTGGGGTAGTGACGAAGGTAGCTACTATGCGTGAGGTAGGGGTAATGGCCCTCGCAAGGTGGAAGAGGTTCCTACTCCACAGGGGGTAGAGGTAGAGGAAACGATAACTGATGGCCATATCCGCCCCATGCCAGGATCGCTATTGCTAAACCTTGGGAACAAATGGGGACTGATGAGAAGACTTGGGATGAGCGTAAGGAAGCCGACTAGTGTTTCAAATGTGGTGATCCCGACCACATTGCTCCCTTTTGTCCCGAGTATCGGTACCCAAAATGGAACAACAAGTAGAGGTAGCAGTTGCCTCTACAGGGACTCAAGATGCAAGCCAACTGTCATCCTCCCATCCAGAGGTCCCAACGACAGAGACTGAGATGTTAGAAGGCCCCCACCTAGTTGGCTTCCTAGGGGTTGCTTGTGGCAGGACCTCTCTAGGTGGTTCCCTTGCAAGCATAGGTGATGAACTGATCACTCGTCGCGCGCTTGGGCCGAAATGAAGAAAAAGAAAGAGCAGTTGCTAATTGCAGACGTAGAGGTCAGTAGAGTAAGAGTGGGCGCATTAACACACAATTATATTAGCAAGAGAGGTCTGCAGAAGATGCACGTAGGGCTAAAGGTCCAGAAATTGGACCAGCCCGGTGTGAGTAAGTTAGCGGATAACAGGGAAATGATAGTAGATAGTTATGTTGAAGGGGTTAGGGCATACTTCTGGTTGGAGGCAAGGGGTAAGGTAGAACGTGTTCTACACTCCCTAACACTCTTAGTGGAGGATAGCCTCCCTTTTGACATAATACTAGGAACTGACTGGGGTGAGGCCGCTGATGCAGATGTGAAACTGGGTGAGCATGAGTGTTGTTTGCCTATGCCTGCAGGAGGAAAGAAGAAAATCTGATTGTACCATGCATCTGGCGTAGAGAATAACCTATCACTTTGTTGCATGAGTACCCTCGCATTCGCCCAGCATGTGGTTAAGAATGACCTCGCCGACCAAATGTTTGTTGCGTATGTGCACCCGGTGAGTGAAAGTTAGAAAGAGGAAGAACCCATTCCCCCCAATGTGCAGAAGTTGCTTGTTGAGTTCGCTGATGTTGGAGAGGCCCCAAGTGGAATAGTTAAGAGGGAGACCAAGCACCAGATAAACTTGGAACCCAGAAGCAGGATTCCCAAGGGCCTCATCTATAGGATGTCTCCGAAAGAGCTTGACGAATTGCGAAAGCAGTTGGATGAGTTGATCGAGAAGGGGTGGATTAGGCCAAGCTCCTCACGGTTCGGTGCACCGGTTTGTTTGTGCCAAAGAAGGGCGGTGAACTGCATATGTGCATATAGTATAGGGGCCTTAGTGCAATAACCGCTAAAAATGTTGAACCGTTACCACAGATAGATGATCTCCCTGATAGAGTTCAGGGTTGCACATATGTTTCCAAAATTGATTTGAAATCGGGCTACCATCAGATTGAGGTATTGCTCGAGGATCAGCACAAAACAACTTTCCGAACTAGATATGGCCACTATGAGTTTGTGGTGATGCCGTTTGGTTTGACAAATGCCCCTGCAACATTTCAACGGTGTATGAATGAACTCTTCCGTGATTGGCTTGATAAGTTTGTCGTGGTTTATGTAGATGATGTACTTATTTTTAGTAAAAAATTGAGTGAGCACAAGGAGCACCTTCGGTTAGTGCTAAATAAGCTACGTGAAGCGAAATTCAAGTTGAACCCCCAGAAGTGTGAGTGGGCAAAGTGTCAGGTTCTGTGCTTGGGACATATGGTAGATGGTGATGGAATCAAGCCGGAACACAAGAAGATTGCAGCCATTAGAGATTGGCCTAACCCGCGCACGCTGACGAAAATGCGTTCCCTCCTTGGTCTGGCCAACTATTGCGAGTTCGTTCGGAACTTAACCGTAAATGCTGCCCCATTGCGCAGATTGTTGAAGAAAGAAACTATATGGAAATGGGATCAGAATTGTACTGCGTCCTTTAAGCGTCTATAAAAATGTATGATTAACTACCCGGTGTTGAAAGTCACGGACCCATCTCTGCCCTTTATCGTAACCACCGACGCCAGTCAATACGGGATCGATGCTGTACTCCAGCAAGACGATTGGAATGGGTACAGACCTGTGGAATTTATGTCCTATAGACTGCCTAGCGAAAAGGTCGCCGCTTCCACCTATGAGAGAGAGCTGTTTGCTCTGCGGGAAGCGTTGAATCACTGGCGACACTATTTGCTAGGACGCCACTTTAAGGTTTATTCATGTGTAGCATCATGTTGGGGTTCGGGGACCTAACCCGAACATTCAGTACCGAACGCGAACGAGCGCAGAAACTCTCCGAACGTGAACACAAAAAATATTTTAAAAAAGTTCTCCAAAAAATCTGAAAAATATATATGTTATGTAAAATAATAATACAAACAACTTTTGCCTTGGAGGTATGCTCAAATTCGTAACGGAACTCGCGTTGAAAATAAAAAACCAGAAAAACAAAGTTTTTTTTTTTTTTTTTTCCATATGTTCGGCTAACACGTTCGGGTGGCGTTCGGCCGAACACGCAAACATGTTCGGACGTTTGGAAAAGCTCCGAACATGTTCGGTGTGCTACACAGGTCTATTCTGACCATGAAACAGTTCTCTGGTTATCCAAAGGTCATCCCAAAAGTTGTCGGAAGGTTATCCAAAAGTTGTCTGAGGGTTATGGAAATATTATTCTGCTTATGTATGGAGGTTATCCAGAGGTTACCCCGAGACCATGGCTGGAAGCAGCAGAGATGGGCGTGGAGGGTGAGTTGTGGGCCTGCTGGTGTGCTCAAGGCCCCATGCCTCTTTTGTCCTCAGGGCACCATAAGTGGTCGGTCATGACGCAGGTCACAAAAACTAATCATATGTCCTGCCCAGTCGCCACTGAATCCACTTGCTCTTCTCTTTCTCTTTTCGGAGTTTGTTTGGTTGTTATCATCACTATATCGTGTAGTGGGGCTCTCAACGCTGCAATGATTTGGTGTTTTCTTTTTTTGCTTTTTCCTTTTGTTTTGCAATGTTTTGATTTTTAAATTTTTAACCTATTCCATGTGGAAGGTGTGGTGTATTTGCAACATTGAAAGGAGAGGTGTTATCTGACCCGTCTCAGATTATTGATCGTCATCACCAGATATGCCCGTCTGTGCTTCGGAATGCGGGGTGTATCTGATACCTCAAAGAATACAAATGGCAGGTGGGGTTGGGATGCCTCCCTCCTCCAGAAGGAGGCAGTGTACTTCTACGTACACAAGGGCAGAGTGACACTTGTCGTCTATATGTGCCAGACTGCAGTCATTGCCAGTGTAATGACCTGACCAAACACGGACCGAGACACAGCCGATTTCTGAGTTTTGCTCATGGAATGAATGCCTTGCTGAGTTCTCTAAGTCTGTGTGTGTGCACGGTTGCTGGTCTGCATCCCTGTCTGAGTGCTTGTCGGCTTGAGTGTGTGTGTGACCCACAAGGGCACCTGTTCGTTCAGCGGACCCGAAGGGCCGGTACTTCCCTGTGGCTGTGAGATTGAGTATTGCAGCGGGGGAAAACACTCAAGTGGCGGGGAAAGAGGCCCACGGCGCTTGAAGCAGTGAAAAACACTCCTAAAGGGAAAAAGTACCGGTGGCTTGGAGGCTGCGCGGCCTAGGAAGTCACTCGCCAAGAGGCAATCAGGGCGCTATATCTCCAGGAGGAGCCAGTTGCTCCTTGTCATTGTCGGTGTGCAAGTTTGGCGACAGACTGGTTGGAGCGCTGGCTGGAGCAGCGCTAGCATTTAGCTGCGCTGCTGGGGAACGAGCAAGGACACGGAGGAGGGAGAAGACCAGGACAAGGAAGGAGAGGGCCAGAGGTACTTACCTGTCTATGGTGGTTGCCATCTTCATCACCTTGGTGGGCGCTGTAGCAGGAAGGCCCCGTTGGGGCAGAGCTACACCAAGAAGCTTCGAGGCAGAGTCAGGCATGGCGGCCTGAGCTAGAGCAGCCATAGCTGATTTCTGTTGTCCTTTGGACAGCAGGGCGATGCCCTGGTAGTCCACCATAGCCTCGGCCTATGAGAGAGAAGAGAGGGGCGGCCATGGCGATAGTGGACCTCAAGTGATACCTGTAGTAGAAGAGGGAATCAGACATCGATTCTGGATCAGCCATTCAACATTGTTGTTATCATTCTTGTTTGAA